TGACAACTTCATCGCCAGAGGTGCAAAAAAAAAAAAAAGAACAAACGCAGATACTGCTGCGTTAAAGACTGCCACAATAAAGAAGGTGATGTCGGCGTCATGATGTATCGCTTCCCATCGAGACCGTGGGAAGAAGCTCGGCGGCAGAAGTGGATAGCCGCTGCTCGACGCGTCAAGTAGGTGTCGCCCTTGCGAATTTTCCTTAAACGACACTAGAGCAAAAACAATCACGCGAAGTATTCGTGCAACGCACCGCAATGTTACAACTGCTCACAAGCGTGTGTTAAAAGGCGCACAGTGGTTGTCAGTCGTAAAACCTAACATTACAAAAGCTTGGAGACAAGGCGCATTTTCCCACGCATTAATTTTTCAACGTGCCTTGCCGCTCCTTTGTGAACAAAGACGATGACTAGACTGCTGGAATGGGCTCATTAATGCCGATGTTTTCTTGCGCTTAGTACGACAGAAATAAAGCTGTAGTGCACCGTGTAACACGTGGAGTATTCGAAAATTGCCGCTTCTCTCGCTCACATGTTTTTTGTTTTCCTGTTATTGTCAGCTGATTGCTTTAGCACTTGTCGCGTATTCCGATATTTGCGTTTCGCTTGCGCATAATTGCACACGTTTTGTTTTCGCGTTATTGAGTGTCAGCTGATTGCTCCCAATTCAACGTTTCAGTGCCGATAACCTCTCATCTTGGCAACCGAACGAGAATACCGTAATATGCTCGAGGCATTTCATCAAGAAAAAAGCACCATTGAGCATCATCCTGGTTATCTTCCTACAATATTTCCGCCTGTCTACAAGGGGCGGTCGATAGCTCCTGCTCAACAGCTTTCAATGTTCAACAGGTAGCCGGTGAATTCTCATGCTGTGAAAAAATAATTATATGTGATAGGTATCACTTTTTACACGTGCCTACTTCTACGCCGCTGTAGAGTTCGGTGTCGGACTAACTGATATCTAATGCCAAAAATTTTATTAAGGAATGGCATGAAGGAGAGTGACAAGTCAACCCAGAGCCCACTTCCCACTGAAGGGATATGTGTCTTCTTGTGTTAATATTGCCAAATATTATATCAATATTGTGTGCGGAACTGATGTGGACATTATATGAAGGTCCACTTTGTTCAAAATGGACATCTTCTAGATATTGTATAAATATTAAATTAACTTCTGTGGACATCCATTGAAGATAAAAATATCATATGGTTGATATTTCCTCGATGTCTACTGGACATTACATGGTGGGCTGGGTGCTTCCCATTTTAGGGACGAAGGTCCTCTTAGTCTAACCTTGTCCTGCTTCAGGTGTAACCAGCAGTATCTCCCGAACCGTATAATAGATTCCGCTGTCTCATCAACAATTCTCGTCTCATTTCCTAGATAGCATATGTTCATTAGAAGTGTGTGCAATAGGATTGACGGACGCACGCAAGCATGGATGGATGGACGGATGACCTGACGCTTCGCCCTAACATAATATTTCACTCCGGGATGTGCTGTGATTTTTTTTCTTCTATTTCACGCGGAGCATGCTTTTCATGTCATTATCAATTCTTCTTCTCGCGCGGGAGCGGGGCAATACTGTACTAAATTTGCGGGGCACGGACCCGTACCGCTTTAGCAGGCTGGCACGGCAAAATTTGATTGCAGGTCTGATCTGAGGTGCTGCATGGTTATTCGCGGTTTGGCTAACGTACGAGCCAACTTGATAAGTGTATCGGCGATGATCGCGATTCAAAGCGTTGTTCTAACACCGGTGTACGACGAGGCGTGAAAGCATGCAGTACTGAACTCACAAATTTGACCTATTCTGAATGTGATGACGGCAGCAATGTACAATGTTGAGCAAGTTGTTGTTTTTGTTCCAGCAACATTGCTCGATGGATGGTTCGGGGTTGCGACACCCGAATAAAACATGCATACGACCAGGCAGCAGGCCGCCTTTCCAGTGTTTCATATAAAAAGAATACTTTGCCGAGTAGTCTTATAATGTAACGACGTCACTTCGAATACGTACAACGCTTAAGCCAGGTTGCCGCCGACATTGGACGCACTAAGTGCTAAATTCTTTAGCGCATCAACTAACAGTCCATTCAGCGAGCCAATTCGTCCTCGTCCAACAGCTTAATTCAAGAGCTTGTTACTGAACTCAGCGGACGTCTGGGCAGCGCTCGAACGCGTTTAGTTTCCAATACAGGGTTCATGAGGACACATAAGTTTATTTTCGGAATCACACACTAGGTTTGAAAATACTTTAAACGCGTCTTCAACAAACTGCGCATCAATAGTCCTCACCGCCATCACCACAATACAATGGTCGAACTTCTACGTGCCCCTGTTGAACTTGCAATCACAACGCGCATTCATGATACCGGGGTATCTTTCGTTAGCGACCAGATGGATCGAGTTTGCCTCGATCAATCTGAAATGTTATGCGCACTCAAACCTACGATCATATGTGCCAGTGTCAGGCTGTCGGGTCGAAGCTCCACGCAATGTTGTTGCTCCTTACGCAAGAAAAAAAAAACGATAATGACAAACACGCGGCCACTCCGCTCAAAAAAGAAAAAGAGGAAACGATGTCAGCAAACAAACAACAACAAAACGTCGCCCCACAGCCATACCTTTGTTGACCCCCGAAAAGGAAGATCCAACGAATGAAGTAGCAGTCGCTTTAGAATCGCTTTGCGGTACTCACCGACCGTCAGCGTTGGGCGTCTCGACGAAGCAACTGCTACCGCGTGGGCCAGCGAGACACGCACTCAGAGAAAAATGACAGCCGGAAAAAAAAAAAAAACAAGCACCGTGCGTTGCTATGGCGACTACCCCGCACATCGCTGATTGGCGCTTTGCTTGGGCGACAGCAGCAGAAATAGTCCAAGGAGCGATTGGGTCGGCGGCGGAAATTCCTCGACGCTCGGCGAGAGAAAGAGAGAAAAGCGGCGTCTCGCGAGCGGCGCGCGGCGCCGCGAGTGTGTTCCTACCTTAACACTGGCGCGATCGTGCTCCTCACCCACGGAGGAAGGAACCGTGTCCTCGCCCATCCGGGACAGCACAACGGCGGCCGTCCAGCGCCAAATTGCCGAGGACTCCACAGCAGGAGAGGAGCATGGCGGTGGTTTTGACCGACGGCGGCATGGTGGTTGTTCCGAGTCTGCGCTCGGCACTTTGCATCGGTGGCGCCGGCAGCGTGGAAACTGAATTTCAAGTTCGACACGTTATTACATGCGGAGCATGTTATTCACCTTTACATAAACGCCTCCCTGGGCGCCGCCATAGCCCTTATTGGGCTGTGCAAATTGGCGAGTCCCCTCAAAAATGCACTGGAAACGCTGCGCCCATAGCATTTGTACACTCGCGCACAGCCCATCATGGCGGTTTTTTTTCGTCCTGCGAAAATGTGTATACTAGGAGCTAGTTATGCGCCGTCACCGTCCACAGCCTCCCCTTCTCCTTCGCCAGCCATTTGTGCATCCCTTCCTCCTCTCAACACAGCCCGCGCTGCGCTCGCTTCTCCCCCTCCGTGCGCCGCGCAACCTTGCGCTTCATCGATTTCCCAAGTCCCGGATAACTCACGGACGGCCCGCGGACTCCTCGGCTTACAGGTGGTGACGTCACATGCACGTGATCTAAAAGTCCCGAGCCAGCCCGAGCGGCCTCGGGCAAACCTCCTCTAGGAATATGCCTGCAGCATGAGAAAAAATACAGCTGCCACACCCTTTCCCTTCTTCAATTTAGAACGGATGGATGGATATGGCTGAACCCTTTAGATCGGGCGGTGGCTAGCGCCACCAAGACGTAATACTTAATGAACCAAAAGCTAGATTTATTTTTTTTTCTTTAAAAAGTGAGTTTGAGGATTTGTACTTTGCAGTGAAAAGTTTAATTTTCACTCGTGCCTTGACTTTAGCCACCAATCAGATAACCTCCCTCTAGTTAAGTCTACCCACTTAAAATCTATTTTGCCCTCCCGGTCCCTAAACCCCAGTGCTTTGAAAAACTGTGCGCCATCATCCTGAACAATAGGGTGAAGCCCTTTACAGAACATTATCAAGTGTTCGGCAGTTTCTTCTTCCTCTCCACACGCACTGCATACTGGGTGGTGGTGGTGGTGGTGGCACCGCGCTGTCATCTGCCAGCGGCCCGAAAGAAATTGTTCGGGTGGTCCCGGACCGCCCGCAAGCCGCCAGGCATGCGAAAAACGAACATGCGTCCGAGCGATCCCGGACCAGTGGGCGGAGCTTCCAGTTGGTCCCCGAGAAGTACAGCCTGGCATTCGATTGTACCGTTTTCCCGGCCAGGCTTGGGAGAAAGAACGACGGAGAAAATGGATTGTTGCCGTTCGGCGGGTGAAGTAAGTACCCGTAGCATGTACATCTGTGTAATTAGTACCAAATTATGTTTCGGTTACATCTGCTGCCGTTTGTTAGTATGCACGAGCAGTATGCACGAGGTGCGTGGGACCTCATACTGCACGGTCGTAGAATCTGCAACAATTTCCTGTTGTGCGCCTTGCAGGCAATTCACGAGGGAATCAAACCTCGTTTTGCAGGTCATGTAAAATGCCCCATTCTTTTAGGAAGACTTGCGTGACTTCGTGCGCGCACGGACTATCGAACATAATGGTATTTCTTTTCGCCTTGTCCGGAGTTGATCTCTGGAACACGGCGAGTTTACCGGTTCTTCGAATTTAAAGGGTGCGGGCTGGCGCGAAGGCGTTGCGCTAGCTCGCACAAGTTTCTTCATTCTTAAGTTCTTTTTCTTCTATTTCTGGTCGGTTTCGTTATCTCTAATTTGAATTTCTATGACCCTTCATTACACTCTTTTGTCTTCAGATAATCATCACTTATACTATTTCATGAGCTTTCCTCATTTCTCTTTATTGTTATCTTATGCTAATCTAATCAGCTTTCTGTGCTTTTATGCATGTCTCTTTCCTGTTTTGTTTCAATGTTCCACATTCCGCTCTTGGGAGGTCGCTGCGGTCGCCGAGGTCAATGGACGTTCTTCACGTCGGCTACATTCTCATAGAATGATTTCGCAGTGAATACAGCCAGGCACCGCTCGGATTTTTATAACATCTGATTCTTCTCGTCACTGGGAATCCGAAGAGACCATATTCTAAGGTGGGGAATCATTTTTCGAGATTTTACGACCGAAAACCAGCCCCCACCAAGAACTTAAGTGTCTACTATTCCTACGACCGGCGCTCCGCGTCGACTGGGGTGGCCTCACGATAGCCAGGCATCGGCGTTCGCGCCATACAGGCCGTAATCATGAATAATGGAGGTATCGCAGCAGAATGAAGACGCCACTTAACGGGAAGATGACACGGGCAACAGATGGACAAAAGTTTCAAACAGAAAACATGCTAAGAAAGGTAGCCAGCAACGCCGTGGTAGCCCTAGCTCTACCCGAACGCCTAGAACGCGCGGTGCAAATCTGATATCCCGGATAACGGCGTGTAATAAACCCGAAGAACTACCCTGACATAACACTTGTTATTGAGCACGGCAATATGGTTCACCACTGCGAGTGTGCGGATCTATTAAATAACGCATTTTAATCCGTATTTACACATGAAGACACCACATCATCACCCTCCCTTGTCAATCTCATCAACGTATCTATGCCTGAAGTAATCATTAATTAGGCAGGAATTTCTTGTTTACTAAATAAACTTAAAACTTCTTCGGCATCTGATCACAATGACATTAATAACAAAATGTTAAAGATAAGTTTGTCGCCTAGCTTATCACCTATACTGTGTGCACTCTTCTCGCAGTCTCTATCTACTAACACTATTCCGAGTGACTGGAAAGTAGCGAAATTCATACCCATATTCAAGTCCGGGGACCGCACTCACCCATTGAACTACCGCCCCATTTCTCTAACAAGTACTATTTGCAAATTACTTGAACATTTATTACACTGACATCATTAACTACTTAGAAGACCACAACATTATTTTTGAATACCAACATGGCTTTCGTCGGGGTTATTCATGCGAAACGAAGTTAGCCGGCTTTTTACATCACATTCATTCATATCTAGACCTAGGATTTCAAGTTGATGCCATCTTCCTCGATTTCTCGAAAGCTTTCGATCGTGTTCTTGGCCATAGACTAATAGTAAAACTAATGAACGTAGATATACACCCAACTGTGATTGGATGGATTAAAAATTTCCTCTCATCTGGATCACAATACACATCTGTTAACAACAGCACCTCCTCATCCACCAACGTAACCTCCGGTGTCCCGCAGGGCAGCGTTTTTGGCCCTTTGCTTTTCCTAATCTATATTAATGACTTACCTAACTGCGTGCCCTCTCACATAAGACTTTTCGCGGATGACTGTGTAATTTATCATGTGACAATAATTTCATGTGACAATGACAAAGATATTCTTCAAGCTGATCTTAACACAATTACTAGATGGTGTTCAACATGGTTGATGACTCCTAATACAGCTAAAACACACTTATTATCATTTGCAAGACGTATGCACTGCATTCCGACATCCTATGTAATCAACAATAACAATTTAACTGACAACTTCGTATAAGTACCTAGGTGTTCACTTACAGTCTGACCTTACGTGGCATCATCACATCCGCCTGACGTTGGCATCAGCTAACCACTCATTAGGTCTACTCTAACGCAACCTCAAGCATGCTCCAGATAATCTCCGTAGACTAGCATGCATCCCATTAATTCGTCCTAAAATCGAATACGCATCAGCTATCTGGATCCCTCACAAATCCATATAACCCAAGAAATAAACTCTTTACAAAACCGTGCAGCCCGTTTCATCTTTTCCTATTATTCACCCTATACTAGCATTTCAGCCCTAAAAACTCGCGCTCAGCTTGACGACTTATCTCATCGCCGCAGAACTGCCCGCCTTTCGCTTCTCCACCAACTCTATCACCACCCATACCTTCACCGCATCTTCGAAGCACCAACAGTCATCTTTCCACGCACAGACCATATCTTCAAGATAAAACGTATAACTTGTCGCTCAGCTCATTTCGCTAATTTCTTCATTCCCCGAACAATAATTGCATTGAATAACTTGCCATCCCACATTGCCACTCAAGCAGATTTCACAACATTTCACGAACTTTTGCTTAACATTTCCGACTCGATATCCACCACGCGTACTCTCATTAATTAGCTTCTTCATATATGTACATCAGTGTTTAGTTTTCTTGTTATCATCTGTTAATGTTTTTCACGACCATTGTACACGCTTGCTTTGTATTCATCATCATCATCATCAGCCTGACTACGTCCCCTGCAGGACAAAGGCCTCTCCCATGTTCCGCAAGTTGAACTGGTCCCGGTGATTTGTATTATTTATGTATTAATTGCAAACTTTTGTATATTAAGATCATGCCTTCATTTTAGCTTTTTCCTTGCATACTGTATTTGCTAGTGCCCTTAATTTATGTTTACAGTGTTCAATATTCTATCTCTACTCATTTTTCTTTTTTTCCAAAGTATCTGGTTTTTGTTGATGTTCTTTGCATTGATCTCGCTTTCATTATTTTAGTATAATCTTGTTTTTACATTGTATAAGCGTACAGAGATTTGTTTCATGTGTCCGTTCCCCTATGTAATACCCCTTCGGGGGCCTTTAGGGGTATTGTGAAATAAATAAATAAACCAGAGCCAGCAAAATGCCAAGACTGCCGACAAGCGACTACAATATAGTTAAAAGGCCAAGAGGAGGACTGCAGCTATGCAAGCTCAGCTTAACGGAGCTAGACAAAGCTGTGTATTAAGCAGCCTAGATCCCTTATGAAGAAAGAAAGACAGACACGATTTGTCCGAATAATTTCCAGAACATCTTGGTTGTCAGTACTTCAAACCAAGACCATGCAGACAAATACAAAGGTGTCAAGCACATCAAAGCCAACGACAAGTTGTATGAGGTGGGAGCATACGAGACGGCCCCGGAACTCACTGCCAAAGGTGTACTCAAAGGAGTTCTCTTGATTTAAACCCCACGGGACATCACCTCAGCAATTATTACTGCCCGAAATCCTTCGGTGATCGCAGCCAAACGTCTTGGCAACACTACGACAGTGATAGTCTTTTTTGACGGCAGCAGAGTCCCGACGCACGTCATGTACAGAGGAGTGCTCACACGCTGTTCACTATACAGAAAACAATTTGACAGTTGCAAACAGTGCAACAGACTTGGGCACAGGAGCGACGCGTGTTGGAGGCCAAACGACAAGCTATGTGCGGGTTGTGGAACGCCTGATACGAGCGAGGACCACCAGTGTCAGCCACGATGTCAGCCGTGTGGCAAGGATCATCCCACGGCCGACAAACTCTGGAAGGTCAAGTTCAAGACACCCTACATCGTAAAACAATGCCAGTGGTTCCGACAACTTCAAGAGACGCACGAGGAGAGCTGCCCGCCTACCACCAAGCCAACCGAACGCGGGAGGCCCAAATTCCGAACGAGGGCAACGCCTGGTTCCAGATCAAGATCTTGGTCCTGCGCAATGCCACGCGGCCACACCTCCCAGTCTTCGGGACCGAGAAGGTGCACTCTGCCCCGTTCCAGATCCCGGTCTAAGCCAAGGGGTGGCAATGGCCATCAAGGGAACCCGGCTTTCACGGTGAGCTGGTCAGACGGGGCTAAAAGGACGCGCCCTGATCCTTCGCTGGAGACTGCGCCTAATGCGGTTATATCAGCATTAGGCGCAGACTGCGCCTGAGCGGTTATATCAACTAATTTTATGAGGCCTGCCTCCTATCACCCTCCTCCCTCTTCGATAGCCAACTCAAAATAGGAAAGCTTAGAAAAAGAGAATTATTTAGCTGTGGAATCGCAGGAGCTATGAGGGGAAGAGAGCAGTCCTGCAACGACACCTTAGGGACAGAACCAAACTGGATGTTCTAATTTTGCAGGAAACCCATGGTTTAGCTAAGCTACCGGGGTATCAGGCAATCGGTCCCGCAACAGTGAATATTAGAACACTAATCACTCTTGTAAGGAAGGGACTCGTAGCAATCTGCCACGACACCGGCATCACAGAAATTGAGCATATACTCGTACAGCTTGCCCCTACAAGAAAAAAATCTCCAACCATATTTATTCTGAAATTGTACAGCAGTCCCGCACACATACGACAACGCTTCCTTCTCTTTAAGAAGGCCGCAGAAATAGCGGGACCCAATCCGCTCATCATAGGTGGAGACTTTAACGCTCCACACAGTGCTTGGGGATACGAATACACAAAAGCCAAAGAAAAAAAACGTTATGGCAGGATATTCAAGAAACAGGCTTCACTCTCATCAAGGACCCCGACTCCCCTACGCGTATGGGAACTGGGCTTGCGAAAGACACCACTACAGGCTTAACGTTAGTTCGTAACGCAGGAACCGCTAAAGGGAAAAACACATTCGATGATCTGGGGAGTGATAATCGAATATTATAAATAAGGATAGAAACCATAGCTGCCGCAGAAATTCAGAGACATATTAGATGAACCGAGTGGGAATAGTTTCGGAAAGTCAGAAATGCGAAAAAACAAGACCCTATTAGCAATATTGAAGATTGGATCAAAGATGTCAATAATGAAATAAGCGAGGCAATGCGTACTATCACTTCAAGTCCACCCATAGAGTAGATTGATAGCCGTCTCGCACACATGTGGGAGGCCAAACAATCACTGCAGAATAGATGGCGGGGACATAGACACAACAGACTTTTGCGCAAGCGCATAGCCAAGCTGCACAAACAGGTCGAAGAACATCGTAAGCAGCTAAGCAAACAGCAATGGGACCTAATTTGTAATAGTCTCAACGGCCAAATGAATGCTGGCCAGACATGGCGTATGCTCAAACACCCGCTAGACCCAGATAACACCAAATCAGCACACAAGCAAACCTTGCGTAAACTGGCGCACCGGTATAACGGCAGTGAGGAGGACTTTATCGCTGAGGCTAGCAACACGTACATTCCCGCCATGCCCGTCATAGAGCACGGACCATATACCAGAGGCGCGAACGAGCTCTTAGATAAGGAGTTTACCGAGGCCGAAATCAGGGCGGCGCTACAGAAGCTAAACACCAAATCTGCACCGGGACAATACGGGATCACCA